CTTCGCACCGCCCTCAGTACCAGAGGAACTTTCACAGAAAGATGAAACTTACAGGACGTAGTAGCCTCCCAGGATGTCCAACTTGTATAACTCGTATTTTTCAAAGGTCACATGAGGTCAGGTCGGTCATGTGACCTCACTATTATAAGTCAATGGGGAAATATGAAAACTGGTATTTTGGCGCTGGAAATGATCTAAAACTATCTCAAGCGCATGAAATCGTGATTTCATGCATTCCTTGCAAGGTCCAATGTTCTATTTTTAATTGTTGACATTGCGTAACGTCATTTATGACGTCACTATAGTCAAAGGAGTTTTCTGTCAATAACTCCTGCTAAAATTGAGCTAGGGAGTCGAAAAAGCTACAAATGGACTCTGAAAGACCTGCCGAATCAAATGGTATGCGATATGACCTCCTTCGACCAGCCTCATGACCTGAGGGGCTCTGACCTGCCCTTGACCCGAGGTCAATACCTTAGGTTGACCTAAACCAAACAAAAAAAATATCATTCGACGCGCCTTAGCAAGGTAAGCACGATGATAGCGGTTAGTAGTGTCGTGCACGTCGGTTCGTAGCACACCCACTCGGGTCTGCACGTGCAAGGCTCGTCCTCCGTTTGGCGGCGGGCGTTTTTGCTGCGTGCACGGGTGAGTGGGTTACAGAGGTTAGAGTGCAGTGCACGTCAGTTCGTAGCACACCCACTCTGGTCTGCACGTGCAAGGCTCATCCTCTCGTTTGGCGGCGGGTGTTTTGGCGGCGTTACAGAGGTGCTTGCTCAAACAACCTGCGGTCCCGCGATGCGGAGCCCAGCATCGCAGATGCTGGTAACCGCAGGTTGTTTGAAAAGACAAACACTATTCGTTAGAATTGTGTTTTTCTATTGAAAAACAACCGGAGCGGTCCGTCTCCGGGCTATGTTTTGCAAGTCTGGCCGCGAATTGGGGCAACTTGGGTCAGGCCTAAACTTGTGGCTCGATTTTCTTAAAAATTTCAGTGTATGGGCTCCCGGGGGCGATCTACCTGATGGCTTCGGTCGCTACTCGCTTAAAACCTCGTGGCACGTGGCACGTGCGATTCCATTTTCCCCATGTTAAGTCAATGGGGTTTTGGACACTTTTTGCGCGATCGCGAATAGCGGGAAAACGAGCCAAGGAAGAGGTGGTTTTCTTCCCAGCATTTTATGGCAAACACGTTTGGGTACACGCTAGTGTGCGCCGTATACCCCTCAGAACTTCGTAACGTGACTTTGCACGAGGTCAAAGTTGAACTTTTTTCGCTCCCCATGTTAAGTCAATGGGCATTTTTGCAGAGACTTTTTCATTCGCTCATTGTACAAAATTATATGATACGATTTTGTTTAAACTTCCAGGACTTGTTGAGAAAAGACCATAGAACATGTTGTTATGCTTCTTTAAGCTGTGCAAATTCGTTTGTTCTTTTTAGGCTCGTTTAAAAATGAAAAATTTTAACATGGAAAGTCAATGGGAGCGTCTTTGCTGCTTAATAACTTTTTACAGTTGAGATATATTTATGTGAAAAGTTGATAGGTTATACAACTTTTGATGCTCTTTCCAATGATATATACAACTTTATTGCACGTGGTGCCGTTTTTGAGAAATATAGTAAAAAAGCACGACATTACCGAGATTTGAGCTCAGACCTATATCGTTACGGTGTCAGGCGGACACGAGGACAGGTGGCGCCGCCGCCGCCCGCATAGCGGCGGGAATGTGAACTAACCTGTTTACCATCTATGGTATGGTACCATCGGGGGACCGGCCGCCGTCGGCACCATTTCGGGACTTTGCATCGCAATAAAAGGCTTATTTACAATTGAAAATGGACTAGCGAGAGTCGTTATGGAATCAGAATTTGATGCTCTACAAAACTAGGCTATTTTCATTGTGATGGCATCACAGACTACACCGCTAAACCCAATAAAGCAGATTTATGTCGCGTCATCGATGATTACATATAATGTATCATTCTTTGATATATATGTAGTCGGGTCTTTCAGCTGCGTCCCTCCCCTCCCTCGCCGCGCCGGCGGGTCGGCCATCCGTGGCTTGCCGCCCGCCGGCTGCTGGCCGGTCAGCTGGCCGGTCAGCTGGTCGCCCGCGGCTGTCGGTGCAGTGCGGGATGCCTACTTGCGGGGGGGGGGGGGGCCGTCGTGGCGGCGGCCCGGGTGGACTGGGCGAGCAGTGAGTTGGGGAGCGCTGCGCTGTCGGTGCTCTAGTTTGTATTGCGTTCGCATGATACGGCTTGAGCCAATACAGAGTGAACTGATTGAGCTGAGCAAGTCTTTACATACATTGAAAAGTAAAGCACTTTTTACTGCATCTACGGTGAGATGCTAGATAAAATTTATGGTCTACCTAATGGTACCCATTACTTAACAATTAAGTGAATCATTTCGTCGCTAAACTCTCGTAAATTCGTATGTCCGCCTCACTATGGAGTTTGGACCGTAACGTATGGCCTTTGCTCAGACAGTATACGAACAGGTGACGGGGATACCTCTAATAGAAGGATGCGACACGATTTTACTGCTAAATAGCGGCCGGCCGCCGTGGGGACGTTTTTGTACGACTTATATCTCGGCAACCACTGGGCTGATACACGTGCGGTTTTTTTGTGTGGGGTAGCTTTTTCCCTTCTTTCACATAGTGTGCTACTCTCGATGCATATGGGTGACCCCTAACGCACGTTCCACGTGCAAAGCCAAGAGGTGCCTGTTTTGTAATAAGCGCAATAGCTCGCGGTAATTACTGGGCCGATTGCGCTAAAACTTGGCATGGAGGTAGACACTTTCCAGGCGATGCATTTCCATGTGTCTTGGTAGGGGTGCAACTGCACGTGCGCACGTGCAGGGTGACGCTTCCAGATCTCGAGAACGGCTGGACCGATTGTGTTCAAATTTGGCATAACGCTTGATACCGATCAGTAGGTTGCAGTCATTTAGTATGTATTTCCATGTGCCACGATTGGGGTGCAACTGCACGTGCGCACGTGCAGGGTGACGCTTCCAGATCTCGAGAACGGCCGGGCCGATTGAGTTCAAATTTGGTACACCGCTAGAGACCGATTAGTAGGGTGCCGTGCGCAAGTCAGTTTGGACCCATCTTGCACGTGCGCACGTGCAGGGTGACGCTTCCAGATTTCAAAAACGGCTGGACCGATTGCACTCAAATTCGGCAAACATCTAGAGATCGATCAGTAGGGTGCCGTGCACAAGTCAGTTAGTATGTATTTCCATGTGTCACGGTTGAGATGCAACTGCACGTGCGCACGTGGAGGGGTCGTTTCAAGATCTTGAAAACGGCTGGGCCGATTGAGCTCGAATTTGGTACACCGCTAGGGACCGGCGAATAGGGTCCCATGCACAATGCAATTGGACACAGCTTGCACGTGCGCACGTGCAGGGTGACGCTTCCAGATCTCGAAAATGGCCGAGCCGATTACACTCAAATTTGGCACACCGCTATAGATCAGCGAGTAGGGTGCCGTGCACGTCAGTTTGTAACACACCGACTCCGGTCTGCACGTGCAAGGCTCATCCTCTCGTTTGGCGGCGGGCGTTTTTGCTGCGTTTACAAAGGTGCTTGCTCAAACAACCTGCGGTCCCGCGATGTATCTTCATCTGCGGTCACACTCGCGCTGTGGGGAGGGGGAAACATTGCGTGTTGAATATGTATAGGGAGTGTTTTAATATTGTGTGCATTTGTGTGTTTTGTGCACCATAGAAGAAGTGTTTATGTCTGTATACAGAGAATGTCCTCGTCGCAATGTCGCGTGCAATCAATGTAATTTCGAGTTTCTTGGCTTTTAGAAACATGAGCATTTTTGAATCGATAGCGATAATGTACGATTGAAACCTTACCGATACGACATATTAGCTCAATTTTGATATTCTGAAGATGAAACAGTGATGTTTCGAAACGTTAATATATAGAATGAGCATCGGACGTATATTATATATATATATATATATATATATATATATATATATATATATATATATATATATATATATATATATATATATATATATATATATAACCTTTGACCTTAACCTTTGACCTTAACCTTAACCTTAACCTTATAACCTTTGACCTATATATAACCTTTGACCTTGACCTCGAAAGGTCAAGGTCAAAGGTTGACCTCAGGTCACGTGACCTCGAGGTCATCATGCATAGCATTCGATGCGTCTTGACGAGCTGAACACAATGAGACCATCCACGCGGCTGTATCTTGTTCCTGTACGGAGTTATTGGCCAAAAACCTTTGGTGACCTTTGATGACGTCACATGACCTCACAGCTGCCCAACAGCAAAACAGACCTCAAGGTAGTGAAGGTTGATCGTATATGAAGTCATGTATGGTATATGGGGCCATAGCGGCCACAGCGGCCCCCATTCCTGCCCCGGCGCGCTGTGTGCCCGGGAGGTGTCTGGGGAGTGCCGCCGCGCTAGACCAGCGGTGAGCTAGGCTGGCTGAGCGCTAGGCTGAGCGGTGAGCTGGCCAGCGACAGGTTCTCTGCCGGCGCAGCTCATCCCGACGACTGTCCGCACAGCCACCGGCCGGCCGATACCAGCCACACCGCATTCCCCGCACACAGGATTGGAGCAAAAACCAGCCGGCATCCCCGCCGCTGCACGGTCGGTCGGCAGACAGACACCGCCGAGACGACCGACAGCCGGCAGCGGCTCGCGAGACGCTGCCAAGGTCAGAAGTGCAGCGGAAACCTGGCCGCGGCCGGCGGTGCACGCCTTTGTCCGCTGCCCAGGCATGAAGGGGAGCCGCGGGAAGCGCCAGCGAGAGTCAACACGGATCAAAGAACTCACACAGGGCCCAGGAAGCAACTTCAGACGACCCAACACTCATCATCCCCGAAGAACACAACCACAACGGACAAAGTAAAAAATTGCCCTTTGCCAGCAGCATCCGATTCGTCCCACGACAAATCTCAGCAGACAGTGCTGTTTTACCAACATACCTTAGATGTGCTGCTGTCGAGCGGAGTGTCCCCGAGCTGCTGGCTTTGAGCGGCCGACCACCGGGCGAGCGCAGCACTTATCTGACCGTCGGCGTCGACAGCGCGCCCTCTCCGCACCGCACACCAGAGCTGACTCGCGCCCGGCGCGCCGGACCCGGCCGCGCTCTCCGCTCACCAGAGGGCCCGAGTCAGTCGAGCCGCGCCGCGCCGCCGCCGTCGCGTTCAAATCGATAGCGCGCGAGCGAGCGAGCGAGCCGGTGAGCGGGGCTCTCCGCGCGCCGCCGTCGGCACCGCCGCCAGGCACGGCCACCTGCGTTTCAAGTACGATTGCCCCGGCGCAGCGGTGGGGGCGGCCAACCCGCGCGATCCGGTGGCGACGGCCGGCCGGCCGCAATAATCGCGACCAGTTGAGCCGACAGACGGGTCAGTGGCCGCGCGCGCCACCGTGAGACGCGCGCATAATGGCGCGGGGCGTTGCGAGCGGTCCTTGAAACGGTGTCACTCATGAGAAACATGCGCCAGCTAGCGGGAGGATCCCGCGGAAAATCGGACAGAGCATCATACCATTTAAAGTGGCCATCACAGTTTTAGTTGAGTTTTGGCTTTTGACTTTGACTTAGTTTTGAGTTGAGATAGCCAAAATGGGGTCCCTGGCTTGCACTTACCGGTTTGAGCACTCACAACATCGAGAAATGCCTCAAATCGAAAATATCTAATTTCAAAGTTGCAGCAATTCGATTCAGAGGGGCTAGCTAATGCATATGCCCCTCTGAATGTGTGACGTCAGCACAGATCTAACTATTTTAAATCTTTTACTAAAACGTTTGGTATCACGCGGTGGTATATGCTGCTTTGCGCCCAACAAATGCCGCACTTTCAGGTGCCAAATTGTTGCTTCCAAATAAAGTCGCTAGGAACAGCAAAGATCCCAAAAGGTAAACAAAAGTAAAAGTCTTATAACTTGAAAACCGGTGAATATTTTTCGCTGAGATTTGGTAGATATTCGTGTTTGCTCTTTCTGAACCGAGCGACTCCACTTTCATGCCAATTCATTAACTTTTTTTGAAGGTGGGAGGCAGGGGCGTAGGCAGGGGGGCCACTGGGCCATGCCCCCCCCCCTTGTTCGGCGCCCTTTGCGATTGGAGGGCGCCTAAAGGCGCCCTCCAATCGCAAATGCAATTGTGATATAATCGAATCGAAAAACAATCGCGACTGGAGGGCGCCCTCCAATCGCGAATGTGTTTACAGGGAAAATACGGATGGAGGGCGCCCTCGGAGGACGCCCATTCCAAATACGCCCTCTAAATACGGTTGGAGGGCTCCCTCGGGCGCCCTCCAACCACATTTGTAGGCTGTAGCTCTCTAAGCGTAACGGTGGTCGCCTATGTAAGCCGCTGTCCCGTAAATAAGCGCCCTCTCACCCGAAGGCGCCCTCCTGTAGGTCGCCACCCTGCTACATATTGCCGCCCTTCTGCTGATCGGCGTCCTCATAATTATTGGCGCTCTCCTACCTATTGCGCCCTCATGTGAAATTTTCAAGGCCGCCTTTCTCCTTTTTGGCACCCTATTGTTCAGTGCCGCCCTCCTACCTATTGGTTCCCTAGTCCTTCCTGTTGAATGTTAATCGGGGCCCTTCTCTTATTGGCGCCCTCGTGTTGATCGCCGCCCTCCTAACCACTGGCACCCTCCTGTTGATCACCGCCCTCCTATCCACTGGTACCTTCCTGTTGACCAGCGCCCTCCGCACAGACGCCCTCCTGTTCGTGTCATCCTCTTGAGCAAAGGCGCCCTCCTCACCATTGCCACCCCCATTTTAATCGTCACCCTTCCGCTCATTAACGACTTCCAGTTGATGACCGCCCTCCCACCTATTGGCGACCTCTTGTTGATCGCCACCCTCCTATTGGTGCTCTCCTGTTCCTCGCCACCCTCTTACCTGGTGGCGCCCTCCTGTTGATTGTTGATCGGGGCCCTCCTACCTATTGGTGCCCTCCTGTTGATCGCTGCCCTTCTATCCATTGGCGCCCTCCTGCTGCTCGCCAACTTCCTACCTATCGGTGCCCTACTATCGAAACTCGGGATGTTGATCGGGGCTCTCCTACCTATTAGCGCCCTCCTGTGGATCGCAGCCCTTCTACCTATTGGCAACATCCGTTGATCGCTGCCCTCTTATCATTTATTTACTCCTTTGGCATGTTTTTCAACTTAGTCGTTCTATTGCACATAGTTGATGTCTTGCCTGTGAAAACTGCCACAAATGAACGTGCATTCAGCACAATGAATGAAGTACCTATACCTACCAAAACTATCTACGCTCTACGATGCATAAAACACGTCTTTGGTCTTAACGGATTGATCCTACTTTACGTGCATCATGGCATCTATATGGATTACGATTAAGTATTGTCAACAGGTTCGGCCGCAACAGCAGGCATCTGAAGTTTCGGTGATTGAAACTGGTTATGTGGGTACACTGTATGCATCTGTCATCTGTGAGAAGGCTATGAAGGCTGGTCTGAAGTAATTTGGATGATGTTTACGCATCTCGCGCTCCGGTATCAATCCGATACGGTGATCTGGTGCGTAGATATGCCACCGCCAATAAACTTTTATACATCGACACCCATGAGCCAAGCTTTCTATACAGTTTGTGTGGCAGCGGCCCGACCAAACCTTAGGTATTTTTTATACCTCCAAATTTAGTAAAAGAGCGAGAGGAGCTTTGAACGGTGATCGTATAAAAGGCGTGCCTAAAAAGCGGAGGAAAAGGTTGTTTTCAAAAATTTCGCGCGCCTTCGGCGCAGCATTTCAAGAACACTTGACCTTTTGTGACCTGGAGTATAAAGAATACACACGATGCAAAATCAATGCAGCACGACCTATACGAGGTTACGCAAAAAAAAAAACTGGTGGCATGGTAAAAAAACGCCTCCCAAACCCCCCCCCCCCCCACCCCGCTGAGCGATTTTTTATCTCGCGACCGTATGGCGCCCTCCTTGGGTGAGGTGGCGCCCTCCAAACCCTTGGCCCCCCCCCCTTCGCGATTTTCTAAATACGCCGCTGGTGGGAGGGTCCCTTTCAGCATACTCCCAGCACAGCAAAAAAAAAGCTGCGTTTGGACAGACCGCTTCGTTTTTTTCCTCATCGGGGAATATTTCTCAGACCGTTCGAGCAGGCTTCTGCGGAAAATGTGTAAAAACTATCGCCACTTAGGGGGCTTAGGGGAAAGTGGGGTAAGACGGCACCTTAACTTTGGAGCTATTTTCGGCCGGTTAGAAACATCATAGAAACGGGAAACTGAGTGAAAACCTTTTTTAGACATTTAACTTCCATTTGCCAGAAGATGAGACTTAGACCTGATTCAACAAATAAACTGCAGCTATTTTTGCCAAACCTTGCAAAAACCCGTCTTACCCCACCCCAAGGGGTAAGACGGTCACATGGGTAGGGCAAGACGGCCAGCTTCTCTCACCGACCAGCACAGCTCGCAACAAATGCCTGAGATTAGCCGCATTGATACAGTCGCTCGTTGGTCTCAAGTGCTTCGGAAATGGCAGTATACGAGATTCGTGCAGAAGGCGTATGCTCGTATACCTACCTATAGGCCCTAGTTCAGAAGCCATGTAGAACAATTTTTCACATTCATTATTCGAGAATAAACTGTGCCGAAGAAGTATTTCTAACATGTCTGCGAGTAGGGGAAAGTGGGTGTATTGCGCCCTCCTAACCAATTGCGCCCACCAAAATTCCCACGGACTTAATGGCATGTTTTGAATTTTGTGTTCGAAAACATTATTTTCCTCACTTGATAGTTCCTTTTATGGCCCAAGCTCTCCGATGAAGCCAATCAGCAAGGCTCATTACGCCATCAAAGATATTACGGCGTTGTCTTAACTTTTTTGCAGTGTTTTGAACCCTTGGCTATAAAAATTTGTGATATTTGTGTGATTTTCAGAGTGATATTTAGAAAGAAAACCTTTTCTTCATTATATTTCACTGAAACAGTTAACATCCTTCAACATCTTTATGATAACTTCTACGCTTTTATTAGAAAGTACCTCAATTTTAATTGCGCCCATGGCAATTGCGCCAGGGGGGCGCAAATAGAATAATGGTGTAGCTGTTGTATCACGACAGTATGAATGCATCATTAACTTATTGCAATAAAAAAGGAGTTTAATGTCAGGCAGGGGAGCAACCCGCTGTCGTCAGTCCGCAAATTATTTCTCTCGTCATACTAATAATGCAGCTGGCATTTAGGCTACGAACTTGTGGTGTAATTGACAAAATACGACATTTTCAACATGGACTCAGGCGTGAGAGGTGACAGCTATGATAAAAAAGTAAAAACTGATGTCATAAAGCTGTCGAAACGATAAAAGTTATTAATTTTGAGAGAAACTATTGAAAATGTAACCGTATAGGCGCATACGTTCACATATATTTAGTCCGTTACAGTAAACGCTTTCGTTGCACTTTTACAAGCGTATGGACACATGTAAAGTGATCTACCTAGGCAAAAAACATCGCGATTTACACCTACATTTATTATTTAACCAGCGTGAATAACAGTATGAATGTTAAAGCAGCCGCAATGACATTAGACTGCCGGGGTGTATGCATTCCGTCGTCTCATTCGCTTAGCCATGTTAAAGTATAGGGCGCAATTGGGCTCTAATTGCGCCATCCCCCTGGCGCAATTTACAGCAGTTGTTGGCAAATGCGCCCTTTTGCATGTTTCTGAAAAAGCAGCTGTCGGAAGCAAACGAAACATTCTTAATTGATCGGGAGGCTCTTAAATCGTAGCCAATGAGTTCCTCTTTAAAATGGTTACCAGTGCATGCTTATATCTCCAGTGGTTTTCTTACAATTAGCGTTTTTCCTAAGGGTGGCGCAATTCACCCTCCTTCCCCTATCGGAATCGAACAGATTCTTATTAAAAATGCTTCTTTTTTCCTACAGCAACAAAAATGTTTTCACCATTACAGACCCATTGGATCCATAGTTGCCCGTCTTACCCCAACCTCGTCAGAATTTCAGCACGATTTTTCACTGTGGACAATTTAAAGGGACCCTCCCACCTTAACATTAGTTTTGAGTTGAGATAGCCAAATTGGTGGCCATGGCCTGAAAATACCGGTTTGGGCACTCACAACATTGAAAAATGCTTTAATTCGGAGATATGGAATTTCAAACTTGCAGTTTTCGGATTCTAAGGGGCTAATGCATTGGTATGCCCCCTTAGAATTTGTGACGTCAGCGGAGGTCTAACGATTTTTAAATCTTTTACTAAAACGTTTGGTAGCACGCGGCGGTATATGCTGCTTTGCGCGCAACAAATGCCGCACTTTCAAATAAAGTCGCTAGGAACAGCGGAGATCCCAGAAAGTAAACAATAGTAAAAGTCTAATATCTTGAAAACCGGTGAATATTTTTTGATGAAATTTGGTAGATATTCGTTTTCGC